AAATTTGGTTTTGATATTGTAATTTGGATCATTGCAAGTCTGCCATTTCTTATGTTGATTTCTTTATCTAGAATATGTGTCTGTAATTTAAACAACATGGTTCAGTACATGGAAATGTAAACTGCATAATGAATTATTAATTTAGCAGCAACCAAGCCTCCTTTCCCCATCACAAAGGTTAGCAAAAATATATCTTTATTTTCCTGTTCATATTAAAGGCCAAATGTTTTGAGTATCTGCCTATATTGGGATTAATTGGGTAATTAAAAAGCAGGCATGTGGAAGTACATCAGTTCATTATTTGCCTGCACAAGACTTTAAGTAATGCATGTAATTGAGGGAAGGAAGGTCAGCAGACTGAATGTCAATTAAGATGTGTACAAAAGTAACAATCCTGGAGTTTGACTCCTGTGAAGCCGAAAATTATTTTTAAGACCTGTAAAATTAATACAAACTATTAGAACCAAATCTAAACTTTGAATATATCTTTGAAATCCCTGCCTAAGAATATGTAACTCCCACCTTGCAATATGTAATCCAACTGATTAAAATTGATTAGCCTGTTTATTTTATTTTATTTATTTATTTACAGTCCTGCTAGTCACTGCTTGCATATCTGAAAATTTCTATGTATTTTCTTAGAAAATTAATGTATGTAAAAATATTCAATTTCTAGAAATGAGGGTGCATTATTTCATTTTTTCACCAGTTTACCATTCATTCATTATTACTATAAGCCACTAAAGGCTCCATAGTGATAACCATAGCTAATGAGCTTTATGCCTGAACAGGATTAAATTATTACATTCAGTTTTTACCATTCAGAAGATCTTTTTGCCAGTCTAAACAAGGCTGTTGTATATGCATTCCATTTTGTCCCTGTTCTAATTCACTTCCTGTGACACATTTTTGCTAAGTTTCTTAACATGGAGTTCTACAGATTTAAGATTTTATGTGCATATGAGTGTGCAGCTACTGAGATCTAGTAGTGGTTGGTGACTAGAAAGCAGGAGAATTGCTGAGTTCTATTCATACAAATCACTTCCAAACATCTTGACAAAAAAAATTTACAGGGACTTGTCCAGGCAGTTGTCAAGAATCAACACTGACTCGAAGCCACACAAACATACACACACACACACACACACACACACACACACACACACACAAAGTCTTCCCCCCCCCACAACCTTTTTGTAAGATGTACAATTATTGTTTGAAATGTTATACCTTTATTTTAGAACATTTAAGTGTCTGTAGATGACACTCCTTATAAACAATTAAAATATACAAAAAAATGACCAAGGAGACCCAACAATGAGCATATGTATTTATTTATTTATTAAATGTGTTCATATATTTATTAAATTTATTTGCTGCCCATCTCATTACAAAGCAAATCTGGGCAGCTTACAGCATAAAAAATATTAAAATCATGACAATACAAAAACAAAAAATCATTAACCCAAGATGGAGAAGAAGAGAGCTGGATACATTGGGGGAGGGGGTGTTGGGAAGCTAGGATTAGCACTTATCAAGCAGTTCCATTGTAAGGCTCTCCATTGGGACCCAAAGCCGCCTGGTAGAATCAGGTCTTAAGGCCCATATGGAAAGTCAGAAGAATGGAAGCTGATCTCATATCAGGGGGCAAGATGTTCCAAAAGGCAAGAGCCATGGCAGAGAAGGCCCCTACCAACTGAAAATCCTTAACTGATGGGAACTATTGTATGCCCCCTTTGTCAATGCGAATGGGACAGGCCAATCCCATTGGGGTGAGATAGTTCCTCAAGTAGCCTGGACCTATGCCATGCAAAGTTTTAAAGGTAATAACCAACACCTTGATTGCACCTGGAAGCAAACCAGCAACCAGTGCAGCTCACAGAGCAGTGATGTAACATGAGCCACTTTGGGGGCCCTAAGAACTGCCTGCACTGCTGCACTCCATGCCAGCTTCCAAAAACTCTTCAAGGGTAGTCCCATGTAGAATACATTGCAATAGTCCAAGCAGGAGATGACCAGGTCTTCAGTACCAGGGCTGGACCAGGGCTGATCCAGAAAAGGCTGCAACTGGCACAAAAGACAAAATTGTAGAAAGCTCTCCTAGCCACAACCTACAACCTGCCACCTGTTCTTTGAGCAGAATTCACAAGGCCAGGAGAACCGCCAAGTTGCAGACTAGGTTTATCTGGGATAGTACCACCCCATCCAGATCTAAGGATAGTCAAGTCTCAGATCCTGAAGCTCCATGCACCCAAAGCCACTTGGTCTTGCCAGGGTTCAGCCAAAGTCTGTTGTCGTCCATCCAGGCCTTCACAGCTTCCAGACACAGCAAGAGGGCAACCACAGCATCATTTGGATCATCAAGAATGGAGATATAAAGCTGAGTATCATCAGCATACTGATATCTCAACATTATGATGACAAATAATCTCATTAGCAGTTTCCCATAGATGTTGAAAAGCAGTGGAGAGAGTACCAAGCAGGATCTCTCACTCCCTGTCAACACAGGCTGGGACTGGACCTGGAGAAAGGAGTTGAACCAGTGCAAGACAGTGCTGCCCAGCTCCAATCCCTATAGTCACCCAAAATGATAATATGGTCAATAGTACTGAAGGCCGCTGAGAGATCAAGGAGAGAAAATGGATGTATATCCCATCCCACTCTTTCCAGAAATCATCAACAAGTGTGACCAATGCCATTTCTGTCCCATAACTGGGCCTGAATCCTGACCGAAAAGGGTCCACAAAATTCATTTTATTCAGGACCCTCTGAAGCTGCCAAGCACTCATCTTTTTTCACTACCTTCCGTAAAAAGGGAAAATGAGAAATTGAACAAAAATTGTTCAAACAGGTGGGATCAAGTGCTGATTTTTTAAGGAGTGGTTGAACCAGGGCCTCCTTAAAAGGACCTGGGAATATTCCCTGCTGCAGTGAAATTTATCACTGCTTGCACTCACTAGTCACCAACCTAGAGGCATTCATCAACCCGGTGGGACAAGGATCTAATTGGCAGGTAGATGCAATGGCAGCATTGAGGATCCTGCTTCCTCAGGATCAAACAGTTCCCAGATAGCTGGGCAAGACCTCTCCTTAGGCATTTCACATGACCTGGACCATTCATGTTTCTAAACTGAGAACGAATCCAAGCTACTTTGAAGGATTTTTTTCTGTACGACCTTGGAGATAATCACCCAGCCCTCCTTCTTCCAGCACTGCTCTAGGCATCTCTTATCCCTTTTTAGAACCTGCAACTCTTCTGCAAACCACAGGGAGAGTTGGGAACAATGGGTCAAGAGAGGCTGCATAGGTGTGATCCTTTCCAGAGCCCTGATGCCATCCTTTGGTTCCAGGCCATTACCAAGGTTTCGCTAAAGCCATGTACAAAGTCCCCAGGTTGTCTCCCAGCTCCCTCTGGAACTCATTTGGGCCCATCAGTCACAAAAGACAGACCATTCTAGTGGCCCTGCCTCTGTGCAGAGGTGGCAGCCTAAGAGAATCTTAAGGATACCAGGGCATGACAGGTGCCATTAGGTCCTCCGCCAGGTCACATTCCCATTGTTCTGACAAGACAACAATGTCTGGTGTTAGCCCGTTGAGTCAGGCCTGAGGTGATCTGGAATAGTACTATGGCAACCCAGGAATGGCAGGTTGAAATCCCCCAGCCCCAAGTCTGGGGAACTGTACTGACAGCTCCAAAATTGCCTCTAGCTCAGGCAGGCAGGTTGTTATGCAGCAGGATGGCTGGGACAGTAGCAACATTCCCAACTGATCCCTTCAGTCCAGACAGTCTCACAACCAGAAACCTGGGGAGCAAAATCCTCTGAATGGTGACTCTCAAATGACCACTGCCATGCCATCTCTCCTACTTTGGGCTTGGGATGGTGCCAAACCCTAAACTGGCCTGGACACATCTCCAAGAGGGGAATCTCCCACTTCTGCAATCAGCCAGGTCTCAGTAATGCATGTCAGGTTGGCTTGCTCTTCCTCAGTAAGGTTTTAGATAAGGGAAGCCTGGTATTAACCAATAGCAGCTGAACCCAAAAGCCTCTTGAAGGGTATGTCGTTCAGGTAGAGAATGAGCCCAGGGGGCTGCAACACACCAGTTCTACGCATTGGGGTCATCTTCCCCTGTAATGGCCTGCTTCTGGCTCCCACATTGCACCCCATGCTTGCCATCACTCTATGTATTGTTCTGCCCCGCATTCTGAGATGATTTCCCCCCTCCCTTTGTAGAGCCAAGGGTTCTGCCATCCCCTCTACCCACTCATTCACTCCTGCAGACTGGGGGGGGGGGGGGAAGAGGAGAGAGGAGTCCCCAGTGCTGTAACTTAAGCTATCGGCACCAGCAGGGGTCCCACCATTCTATTCCACCACCACATATGCAACTTTCCACCTCAGCCTATGCCTCTCACTGGCAAGCCAGAGGGAAGATACTTATTCTAGACCCTCCACCTGACTTATCAGAATGGGGGCTGCAACCATCCATCCTAATATACTAGCCACTTCTGGCTGCATCAATGGGTCCCCAGTCCTCATCTAGTATAGCTCCCACTGTCATATACAAACATATGAAACATAATTTAAGTGGTATCTAAATAATGTGTACTAATAATAAAATTAAAAAAGTGTATTTTAAATATTTATGATCTGCAGACCGTAAAACAGAATGGAGTTTATTTTCCATATCACAGAATGAAGTCCTTCTATATTCAAACTATTCCTTCTCCACAAAAAATCAACTGGCTAGCATGTAATATTCTGGCTAGCTTCCATGTGATGCAAGTTTTTGATTAAAAACTTAAATCTTTCATACATACATACATACAATAAGAAATTAAATACAGCAACTATTTAAAATCACGTGAGTAGTTACATTATACAGGCTTGAACTAAAACATTCTTTAAGAGACAAAGGTTTAGCTAAGACCTGTTATTCCAGAAAGTAAAACCTACTTTATTTTAAATTCACCCCCTCCTACACAGAAAAAGATACTGGTCACTGCTGTTGTTGAAGACGTTTATTAGATACCCTTTGAGCACTATGTACACAAAAAGGCAGCAATTATTTCTTAGTTTCTTCTTCCTTAGATAGGGTTTTGATAATTTCCTCCTTTTTTGCTTGGAGACGCTCTTCCCGGCGCTTACGGGCCTCCTTGGTCTTAGACCTGCGGGCTTCAGCCTGGTCACTGAAGAATAAAAGAGTGCTCAGATAGTTTAGCAACGAAACATTACTTTTGAGGCATCCAGTGATTATTTGTGTCAGCTGCACCAAGTATTTCCCCAATATTATTAACAATGCTTCTCCTCTTAGATTAAATTCTAACTTGTTAGCTTTTACAAGAGGTAGCAATGACTTTTCTTTTTCCTCAACTAAAATCTAGCTATCTTGCTATTTATGAGGAGCACCCTAAAGATTTATTTCTGTCGCTCATATACAAACTAATACAAACTCACTAAAGTTAACTCCCTCCCAATGTTTATTTAAGGACTGCTTCCTTACAGGAAATATTACCCTTTTGTTTGAAAAACCCTAGGTACTTAATTTTCACTTCCTGCTGCAAATTAATGTGGATACACTAATTATGTAATTTGATCAATTCCACATAGGAGGTACATAATACCAAGTAATCATATTAAGAAGTCTTACTAATCATTGTACTTGCAAGAGTCTCTCTTAAAAAAATATTCAGAATTTGCAGTTTTTGATGAACTGATATGGTTTATTGCCTACTTACTGTACTTTCTAATTAAGTGCTGCACCTATAAATGCTGTAACCAGATTATTTTGAATCACACTTCCCAACGCAGAAAACCTACACACCAAACCTTATTTTCCAATATCCGTTTTCCACATTTTTATAGTTCTTAATGTGTAACTCCTCACTAGTGTTACATTCAAAATTGTTAATACTGTTACAGTTAATACTCTGGTTCCTTATATGAAAAAAAAAGCATTACTGAGTAAATAAATCTACCTAAATTTTAGTAAGGTACTTACGCCAGAAGCTTCTTGCGAGCCTTATCTGCCTTCAGCTTATGGATATGCTCCATAAGAATCCGTTTGTTCTTGAACACATTACCTTTTACCTTCAAATACAAGCTATGGTACCTGTAAAGCAAAGAGAAAAAATTGAGTTTGTGTCTTAAGAGTACTGAAGAAAAAAATGCAACTCTAATAGAAATATTTGTCTAGATGTTCTGCCTTGGCATTTGAAATGTGGACCTTATATTCTCTTTATATGACTTCCCCAATTTAGTGTGCAGCAGAAGTTGTGAACTCTCATAGGCTCCAGGCAGCATATGCTGTGGAATCTAGCAGCCTGTTCACCAAACATTTAAGAAATTGACTTTATGTCGCAGTCAACATTGCTAAGCAGCTTTATCTAGAATGTTCTGTTGTGAGATAGGGCCCTAAGTAAAGAAAAATAAAGCAACAAATATTTTAAATGGCAGGACCTGTAAACAGACTATCTGCTAGACTTACATATGCCTGTCAATTTTTTTGGACTCCCTGTATCTACGTAGAAGACGCCTCAAAATTCTCATCCTCCTCATCCATGTTACTTTTTCGGGCATACGAGCATTAGCTGTACCCTTTCTCTTTCCTGGAGAGCAAAAGAGGTGGGTGTTAATCCATTTTTGATATATAATATTTGCACTTCTCCATAACCTTAAAAGCTTTTCTGTGCCTTATCATTACAGAAGTCTATGTAAAACTGATTTTTTTTAATTTCAGAATTGTAGGCTGAGTATATTATCATATAACTATCTATAAACGAATTATAATTTGATATAAAGCAGGGGCAATCAGTACTTACCAATGCCCATGTGCCTGCCCTTTCGACGAGCCAAGGTGTTTTTCCTGCATCGAGCTCTTGAGTGAACAGTCACAGGTTTACGGATTATTAGGCCATCTTTTATTAGTTTTCTGATCTGCTGACCTAGAATGGCAGAAAATCAATTACTAACAGATGGTACTAAGGCATGGGTCGACAACCCGTGGTTCCGGAGCTGCATGTGGCTCTTTGAGCCTTCTCCTGCAGCTCCCAGCCTCCTCTGCCATTTGCAGAGACAGGCTCTTGCGCTTCCCTTCTCCCTCTCTCTCTCTCTCTCTGTGTGTAAAAAAGAGTGGCCTCAAGGTGTTCTCAGACGAGCTAACAAGCTTATTGGGTGGGGCTCCTCCCTTTGCTGCATCTCTGCAGGAAGCAGGAAGGGCAGGAGAGACCCAGCCCAATAAGAAAGTGTGTCAGCTTGTTGGAGAACAGCTTGAAGCCAGCTTGCCAGGTGAGCAGAAGATCGCAGAGAGGGAAATAGAGGTTGCAGAGAGGGAAGGGAGAGAAAAGAGAGAAAAAAGAGAGAGAAAACTCATGCACAGCAGCCTCTAATTCTTTTTAATTAAATTACTTAATCAAGCCCCCCCCCTTGCACGCCTGTGCACAAGTTTTGCGGTTCCCAGAGTTTTCTTTTCTCTGGGAAATGGGTCCAAGTGGCTCTTTGAGTGTTTGAGGCTGCAGACCCCAGTACTAAGGGCAAATTGGTAGATATCACATGAAGAATTTTATAACTTTGCATAAATATATGTAAGCATGTTTACTTCCTGCTCTAAATTTTCAGTTTCCAAATCAAGTTAAAACAGTTGAATGGCCTTTGATACTGTCTTTCTCATTAACTCATCTATTTTTTAGTCTAATACTGATTAGTTGAGGCAAGATTTTTCTACTGTTCAAACACAATGCTTATAAGTGAAATCTGGATAGATATACTTATTTTTAAACAATAAATTTTAAGTATGTGAATCCATTTGACATTATTATCAGAAATGTCAGTTTCTGTTAACATATGCAAGCATTATTTGAGGTATACAAAATATTTTAATCAGCCATTTTGAGGTCAGAACAAATTACTACAACCTCATCAAACATGTTCCAATACTGGAAAACTTGTCTGGATCTGACTAGTAGGTATCCAAAACAGAACACTTAGAATTATAAGCAATCCATTCTGATTACTTCTAACAAGGCTGGAACATCCCATTTTGGGACAATACTTCCACTGAGAACAGAGCCTGAACTGGGCATTCTGCAGCTGGTAAGGAATGTGATTTGAATATACTCGAAAATGTTTTACATGTCTCTAAATGCTACAACATAGGCCTCCTATACATGGCAAATGATACTTACGAGAGTTAGCATTAGCAATTTCATTGGTTTCATTAGGATCCAACCATACTTTTTTCTTTCCACATCGCAAAACGCTGGAGGCCAGCCTCTTCTGCAGCCTTAACATACTAAGGAAAAGAAGCACATGTAAAAGATGCAAGTCATTCAGGAAAAAAACCCTAATCTCTGAAGATGACATGGGAAATTATTCTAAGTATCTAAATATAATTAATTTTGAATAGATAAAATGATAGATTTATGTAGGAATCTTAGGTAACAGCTTGCATGCTGGTTAATCAGGACCTGTGAAGATCACCACCTATACATGCTTGATTTTAGGTCTTTTAAATGTAAACACTAAGGATTTAATATATTTTGTCTGATAAATCTTGCTTACAGGGCAACTTTTATTAAACAGATTCTATTTCATGAAATTCCACCATTTAAATCTGCTTTATACATTATGGTGAGTTATAAAGAAAATTTCAAGATTAAAAAACATTGTGTAAAAAACACAAGTTATTTAAAACTGATATTTTTAATGAAACAACTGTTGCTCAATTGTTTCCTTTGCAAGAAATTATTTTAGCGTACTGGCTTATAATTCCCATTATCCAAACCAAAATGAAGGGTATCAAATTAGCCAAAGATCCCTTACATTGGATAATTTTGTTCACATGACTTATAGGAAATAAAAACTAGGTTTAGGAAACAATAGTTTCAAATTTACCAATTTAATACATTTCAATAGTCAGTGTTTAACTAAGAACTATGCCTACTGTATAATGACACAAGTTTTCCTTTCATAAGAATCTGTATAATATACATTTTGAACTATGCCTAAGTTTTTCGTCTAACCAGGAATTCACTTTTAGGTCTGTCTCTGTGGAATTGCAAGAATAGATTTGTAATCCACAAAATTCTTCAAGACAGAAAAAAGCATTTGTGCAACTTAACATTACTGGGAGGGGACATACTGTAATGAACAGGATTGCAATTCTAATTCTAATTTTTTTTCTAATTATGTTTTTAGAAATATTTATCTTTATGGTTTTCTTCTTTTAATGTTGTGAACCACCCAGTCACTTTGAGAAGAGAGATGAGCAACAAATTTAATAAATTAAAAAACAGCCTTGGTATGAAAAAGTATTCTGAATATGTATCTAACATGGCCATCAAGATGAGACAAAATTATTTCAACCATCTAAACATTGTATCTAGTTAGTTTAATATATTCGTATGAGGCCTTTTTACATAATAACTATTATTTAAAAAAATCCTCTCGGGGAAAAAATTTTTGGGAGGAAACATCATGACTCCTAGATTTTACTCTTTAAAAGCAAGATTCAGCTGAAAATAGTAAAATTGTAAGATCTGGGACGAAAAGATTTGAGATTATATAAAATATAGCAACGTGAAAACTGTTCATGTAGTTGAGAACCACTTGTTCGGTAACCTCCACAATGCCTCTACAGTCTTATTCTTAAAATCTCAATTAAATAAATCCAATTACTTGTAAAGAAGAGAGACATGCAAAAGACAAAGAGAATATGCTCTAGAAATAGGCGGCGCCAAACCCCACGAGGCCGCCATCGTCTACCGATGTCTGCTGGTCCTCCTCCCCTCTTCCTCCCGCAAAGCTTCCCGGGCGCCTCGCCGTCTCTCCCTATCGGCTATTGAGACAGAAAGGGGCTCCCTTGCGAAAAGGGAATACTTGGTAGGAAATCCGGAGATTCTTTCCCAAATCTCAAGTGCCACGAGTCACGTTTTCGTCGCCAGGCTCTTCCAGGCTTCACAAGGCCTCTAGGCCGCACTCCTAGTTCGCCTAGCCGCAGCCCTTCGCCCCTCCGTTCCCTATCAAAGACTTTCACTCCAACCAGTTGCCTTTCGGACCATTTCGCCAATCTTAAGTTTCATTACTTAAGACTCAGGCCAGGCCCTTAAGCCCCTTCACAACGAGCAGCTCACCTCATGGCAGCAAGGCCGACAGCACTCAAAAGAAAGAAAGGAAGGAAGTGGTGGAGGGCCAACCCATCTTACGTAATGGGCTGCACCACTCGCTTTCACCCCAATCCTATCCTCGCCTTGCCTTTCTCACTTTTTCTAAAATCCTGTTTATTTTCTATTACACCCTTAAATCTGATCCTAAAGGCTATATCAAGGAAGACAGGTGACGTTACGTGTAAATGAAAATATATTCTTCCCTCAAATGGAGACAAATGGTATCATCCAAAGTATTACTACGCTTGCGCACATCTCTTGGTATGTTAGCACGGGGTGGGCAATGCGGGGGAAAGATTTTGTTTGTGCCACGAACTTGCGCGAAGCGCTATGCGCATGCTCACATTTGATGCTATTCATACAAATGCGTTATCGGCGCATGAATGCTCAAAGTAACTCCTTTTTTTTTAAAAAAAAATCTATGATTTCCTCGTAGCCTTTATTAGCCATTAGCCACTTCCGCCATTTTCCTCATTTCAGAAAGTCACCTCAACAAAAGGGAAAGATTTTGTGTTTTTCTAAATTAGGTTTTATTTTTAAAAATGTTTAAATTGATTGAAAAATTGGTTTAGAAAGGCGAATAGTTTTCCCATATCTTAATGCGGGGAGGGGGTATTGCGACTGAGAAAACAGAGACAAACCTACAATACGGGATTCTAATTCTCTGATCAGAAGATGGGCTGAAGAATTGACTTGAATTCCTCCTCAAGCATTCTCTATTTCAAAATATCCTTACTATAGGTAGTCCTCAACTTAACGACCACAATTCAGCCCAGAATTTATGTTGCTGAATGAGAAATTTGTTAAGTGAGTTTTGCCCTGTTTTACAACTTTTGCAACATTTGTTAAGTGAATCACTGCAGTTGTTAAATTAGTAATAAGTCAAGTGAATCTGGCTTCCCCATTGACTTTGCTTATCAGAAGCCTGGAAAAGGGCATCACATAACCCCAGGACACTTAATTGTCATAAATATGAACCAGTTGTATCCAAATGTAGATCAAGTGACCATGAAGATGCTGCAATGGTCATGAGTATGAAAAAATAGTCGTAAGTCACTTTTTTCAGTGCTGTTGTAACTTTGAACAGTCACTGAATGGTTGTAAGGACTACCTGTAGTATCATTCTGTTTATGCAGCCCAGGCATAAACAGTTCTTATTTATGAATATCCAATTTCAGACATGTTAAAATCAAACTTTTCTTTACCTCTTTATGCAAAGGAAATTTACATTCAAAATTGCAGGCAATCTGCCTTTTCTTTGCTATCTATTATTAAAAACGAAAATTAAAATGGCCTATGACACTTACTCCTTTCTTTGTTATTTTATATCCAATTACCCAATCCTATTCCTTTCCTGTTGGCCTATAAACCGAATCATCTCCAACAAGTACAGCCGATATCTCGAGACAGCTAGATGCTTAACCTGATTTGGAAAATTAGTTTTCTAATATTGTAGCACTTGGGAGGAGAAGTGGAAAATAGATTTCCTGAAGCTTATTCTTAGTAAATGTGCTTATAGTGTGCTGAATCCATGATTGTGCAAAGCTTGCCTGAATTTGCCTTGAAAGAGTGAGCTCTGCAATAAGTTGCATGTTGTAACATGCCCAGTGAAATAATTATCATCTTTCATTGGGATTATTTTCGTTGACCAGTAGAAAGGAAAGTGAGCATGTAGTGTGAATAAAATTATAGTGTGTAAGTTGAAAAATTTTCGCAGAGCAGGGCACCATGAGCAAAGTGATTCTGAGCCATTATGTAAAGTTACACTTTTCCTTTTTAATTTTAAATACTATAATGAAGTTTTGAATGTACTACTGATGGTTGTGTTTGCATGACACATTGAACCAGTTTAGCCCAGTCTATTTTGCAAACTCAGCCCTTATATTTTCAAACATCATACATTCATACAAAACACTAAATTGTTTTGCCAAATTCTATTTTATTAACTGGATAAATAACAGACATGCTAACTGAGAAGCAAATTACATTTTCATTTTCAGGGTGAACTCAACCAGGAACATTATGTGGGAAGTCAGCCTCCGCCCCCCAGAGAAGGAAATATTAAAGAGGCAGAAAAGCATGCCCAGTTTTCTTAATAGCCCCAAGTCTCCCTCCCCCAAGCAGAAACCAGCTCTGTAGAAATGCAGATGTAAACCATTCAGGAAGGTTGAAGCTAGAAGATTAAGAAGACAAAAACACATAAAATCTACATACCCCACCCAAACTCTAAGACAGGACATAATAGGATTAATCCACAGATACCAAAGGGCACACTCAGACTCAGGTCAAAGTTCATGCCACAGGAACTCCAAACAAAAGGCTCTAGACATGTCGAACATAAGACCCGGGGGGGCCGGATGCAGCCCATGAAGTGTTTCATGTGGCCCGCGAAATCATCCTGAAAACAGTGAGGGAATGGCTCCCGCTGCCTTGGCCTGGCCCAGGCTGGCCGGGAGCCAATGTACAATTTTGTGGTGGCCATCTATGCATTCAGTCTTAGCTCCACAAGGCTGTCTGGAAACAGCGAGGAACAAGCCCCTGCCGCGTTGGCCCCACCCCCTGGGTGCATGCCAAGGAAGTGTCACCCTTTGTGAGGAATGAAGAAATGCACCATCGCCTGGAAATGGCCAGCAAATGGCCGTCGCCTACTTCACATATCTGGCTTGTTGGGCTCTGGGGGGAGGGGTTTCGGCAGGCAGCGGGGCGCTCTCCTCACAGTGCCGAGAGGCTGAGCCGGGCGGTGCAAATCCAAAAAAAATATGTGAGGCTGCCCAGCTCCCAGCCTGCCCGGTTTCAGCAGGCAACAAGGTGCAAAGCTGGCGAGCTTTGCACTGCCCGACTCAACCTCTCGGCACTGTGAGGAGACCGCCTCGCTGCCTGCTGAAACCAGGCAGTCTGGGGGCTGGGCAGCATCATGCTTCTTTTTGGATTTGCACCACCCGGTTCAGCCTCTTGGCACTGTGAGGAAAGCACCCTGCTGCCTGCCGAAACCAGGCAGGCTGGGGGCTGGGTGGCATTGCGCAGGTAATGTTGACTCTCAAGCTACTCATGGCATCCCCTTCCCCAGAGCCCACCAAGCCAGATATGTGAAGTAGGTGAGGGCCATGTGCTGGCCACTTCCAGCGATGGTGCATTTCTTCATTTCTCATGAAGGGTAACCCCTCCACAGTTGCGTTTCTTGCCTGTTTTTTTCATCTCAAATATTTTCCCACCACTCTATACTTAGGAAGGAAGGAAGAAAGGAAAGAAGTAGAGGAAGGGTCTGAGGGAATTCCTGCCTTAGTCCTGCCCTGCTGCCCTTTCACCATCCCCTTGCCCCCTCTTCCTGGCCTATCCTGGGGGTCTCCCATCCTATTGCTAAGGAAGCTTTGTACACAAAGCCGGGTCTCCTCCCATGGAGAGAGAATGGGTCTCTCTCTGACTTTGCCCTCGTACTCATCATGAGCAACCTGGGTAAGGAGAGCAAGCACAGCAGCAGCAGCATTGAGGAAGTAAGTGCAGCTGGGTGCTGCCTTGGGAAAGTGGGGCTGGGCTTGGTGCTGCGGATGCTCAAGGTCCAGGCTGGGCATTTGACCTCTGCTGCCCAGGGCTCCCGGCAGTCGGCACCACCGTCCAGCCCCCCCCCGCATGGCCTGAGAGGAACAGTGAGGTTCCTCCAGTGGACCATGCCTTGGCACTTGCCCTTGTCCCACCCCCTTCTGCCAGAGACCCTCAGATCTGTCCCACTTGTGCCCAGGCCCCCACAGGCACCCTTGACACGAATGATGTAGAGCTGGCCATGCCCACCCAGTAGGACACACCCACTCCATTTACGCCCACCCAGTAGGACATACCCACTCCATTTACGCCCACCCAGTAGGACATACTCACCCTAGCCACATCCATCTGGCCCCCTGAGGGCAACCACAATGCTGATGCAGCCCTCAATGAGCAGTGGTTCTTAACCTTTTTGAACGAATTGCCCCCTTGAGCCAATGAGGAAGTTGTCATCACCCCCCTCAATCACAACATAAGAAATAATTCTTCAATTTATGCAAACACTTTTTTTGTTTTCTTTAAAATTGTCATTTGGACATATCGATGCAAATAATTTATTTCCAGTCTTTTTCCCATATCTCAACTGGGTGAAAAATTTTGGTGCCACCCATCACTTTATTCCCAAATGTTGTGATACATGTATTTCATTATTATCTTATTTATTCAAGACACTTAAATGTAATGACCACTGAAAACAAAATTCAATTGCAAGAAAGTGAAATGCCCGAAAAGAAAAACAGTAACATTTAATGATTGAATTACAAGTGAAATTTAAGACACAAAAAGAAATATAAAAAGGGCAAATGAACAAACCGCAATGCGCATGAAGATAAGCGATGCGTATTCACATATGTACGGCATTCTGTACTGAAGCTAGCTAGAGGAACATTTGAAAACACAATTCAATCCACTAATAGCGAGCAATCTGATGTTTTTGTACGACAAATATACAGCAATTCACTGTATGAAAAAATCTCAAAAGTGTCCCCAAAACGTCTCGCTCCATCGCCCCCATATCGCCCCCTTTTCGTTCCTTTGTCCCCGCGTCGCCCCTTTTCGTTCCTTTGTCCCCGCGTCGCCCCTTTTCATTCCATCGCCCCCCTGAAAAATGAAATCGTCTCCTGGGGGCAATATCACCCAGGTTAAGAATCACTGTTCTAGAGGGTATAAAAACTCACTCCCTACATGTGCTTGCTTTTTTCTTCAAGAGCCATCTTTCTGTCTGGCTCTCCTCTTCAATAAACTGCAACCTTCTTTCTAAAGCAGTCGTCATGTTGTTTATTCCCGGCTTGGACTGAACTATGATGAAGACTTTTCCTTCAACACTTTGGTGACCCAGATGGGACTCCAAGCTAATCTCTCCAATGGACTGAGACTGGTAAGCCCCATCTTGCCGGTAGAGACCCCTTGTGTCTGTGAATGGGTTTCCCAGGCCATGTGGAGCCAGGGTAGTAAAGGGAGTTTTGGATTTGAGCTCAAGGGCTGCTTTGGAAAGAAGGTGAAGGTGAGTACCTCTAAATTTTAACTTTAAAGCCC